AGTTAAAATTATTTTATGGAGAAAACCAGATATTTGGACCAAATGCACAAAAATATTACTTATTTGGCACCATACACTTTAGAATTTCATTAAATGCAGTATTTATATTCTTAAATTCTTAAACCATCCATTGTATTCTAATATTATAAAGATTTATACATTTTAAACGCCTAAACATAATATTATTTCTTTCGTTGACTATACTTTGACAGATACATAACCTGAAAAGCCTTAAATGCCAAATTTTCAAAAGACTGCGTGGAGCATAGTACCATTTTTAAAATACTCAAACTGAACGAAATCTTTTGTTAATTATTAAAAAAAGAAAAATTTGGACACCAATTCTCTCAAAATTTAAATTGGTCCCACTGTGCGTCGTCGAACGTAAAGGTGCGGTGACATCGGCTGTCGCGAATTGAATTATCTGCCGGTGTGGCACAAAAGCGTTCGAACGTCCATGCTAAATAACAAGTCTTGCCGTGCTTGTTGGAGTGCTGGATGATACGAAGAGATGCCGTATAATCTGACACCTGGGTTTTTAAGCAACATGTCCGAAAACACCTTTTAGCCATAGGCGGCACAAGAAGATATGCCCTATTGCCCTTAAACTTAAGTAGTCAACTTTCTTGATAAAAAATTATTAGCAATTATCCCAAAAGCATGTCAATTTTCTAACAAAATCTGGTAGCTCTCAAATACATGGAAGGGAATGCAAAACGCGCACACCGTTTGCGGCACACGTGTTTAGTACGTTTTGTATCATTGCAACTTGCAATTCGCCATTTTCTAGGGGCAGTGATATAATATTATAATTCTATTATAGGTATTACTAATATACATTTTACCGGCTGTGTTGTGTTGTGGCGTGTTGTATGTACTTTCACAGTGGAGTTGGAATCATTAAAACTCTTTTTAAATAAATGAAATTTAATTAATTTGTTTTTGAAGGTAGAATATGTAATACAAATTTTATGTTAAATCTGATATCAAACAATAAATCTCTTATTTTATTAAAATATTTTTTTGTAAACCTTTTTTTCAGACAATCTTCTAGTTTTCAACGATGCCAATATTTAGGCTTCACCTCCCCTCATTACGAAGGTCCTTGATTTTAATTGTTAAATGCATGTTTCAATAATTAAAATCAAAAGGCCTATGTGGTGAGATGCAGTTTTTTTGTTATTATCATATTTTTAACTAAATAATATATTATTTGGATATTTTTAACTTAGATTTATCTAATGAGGTATATTTTTTTTACTATTAAAATATACATTTTTTATTTTCTTGCCGCTACTGACCTTTGATAATGACGCTGATTAATCGTCGACATGGGCGTGAGTAAAATATTATTTAAACACGTGCTCATTATCCGTACGCTATGCGTAAAATCGGTTTTATAGCGTATTGCTTCAACAACCACGCAACGAACAAATAAATTTTTAATTAGCTTTTCTTAATTTCTCTGCGATTTCGCAGATACATACACGTCTACATTCGCAGCGTGCACACTGCAAATTTGTATGCGCCTATTCATAAAGCGGGGCCTTATTAGCAACATTTATGGCCACAGTTGCGACTTAATGGATGATAAACGCGAATTTATGAATGAATTTGTCGGCATATTAACAGTCTGCTCTGTGCATTGGTTTGGTCGATATGCGATTTTTAATGGGTACTCTTTGCCTAACCCAATTAACGAACAACCTAGCCATCCTATACTTTAGTCTTGTATTATTATTATTATATTATTATATTTATTTGTATTTTGTACACGGAGAGAAAAGTATAATGCTGATTACCATTATTATAATACCCTTTACTATAATTTATATTACTACTTGGGACAACTATCTTGTATATTGCCAGATACTATGCATATTTAGTAATTTTTAAATATCCATGTATGCTAAACCTTAAGGTAAAATATTATTATTCTCAACCAATTTTGTTCTTAATAGTAGTAATAGTATAGTAAATTTTAAAATATTATGTTGCCATTTTAAATATAAAATATTTTAAAATCGAATATTTTTATATGTTAACAATTAAAAATTGTAACATATTTATTGTACTTTTTAATATACAAAAATGTTATGAGAAAGAATTGAACCCACACCTCACCAAAGTTTTTTGTTTTGAGTGCGTTCCATCAACTTCAAATACCGACAGACAGGTGTTTTGGCCTACATTGGGTATCATCAGTGTCGACACGACACTGTCGAGCAACTTGTAGTAGTGGAACACACCCGAAACAAAGAAATACCTGAGCTTATATAACATGGTTGGTAAGTCAACAGAGGCGAGATGTAAAAACATCACGTGATCCACACCGTCTAACGACGCGTCGCGACGTGGCCTTTACCGCAATCGGTACATACTATGCAACCAAGTAGGTTCAATTCTTTCTTATAAGTAATACCAGTAATGGGTCAAGAAAGTTTATAGAAGAAACTAAGAAAATTGAATGTTTAAAATGTCATGAGTTACTATATTGTATATTATATTTAAATATATTGTTTATTTACATGAAACATAAAAGTATCTTTATTTTTACTATATTTTTTTTATTAATGTGTAATATATTATAATATTAGATGTACACCTTACATTTAATTAAATCATTTAGTAAATATTACTATTTGTAGATAGTAAAATCAATTTACTATACGAACATATTACAAATTAAAATATATATTATACATTTATGATTTAGTAATATTGGTGTTGTAATCTTTACTAAAATTGTATAATAAAAAATAGTATTTTGTAGTACAATCTTAATATTGTATTGACGAATATATAATATTGTTACCCTAAAAATTTGTTAAAGTAAATTTTACTATATTTTTTTACTATCTAAAATTTACTATACATTTCTCTCCGTGTAAAACAAATAACTATTGTAATACATAATCCTAATCAGCATTTAAAATTATTACCCATTGAATCAAAATTAGGTTAAGGCATGCGTTTTATCTTATTTACCATTGTAAATTCCTAAAAACAAAATCTAGAGTAACCTTTGCATCAGCATAAAGTAAACAACGCGTACCTCATCTCCAGGAAAAAATCCTCTCTATTTTACGATCGCTGTAAATCATATTTTTTAATTGGCAATCAGGCCCTCTACCAATTTACAATATTATTAAACAACGCTGAATTATGCATAAGGCAGTAAACGTAAAATATGCTTTGAAATAAAGTGATTAGGCAAGAGTGAGAATTTCAATTTACCTAAATAATTGGCCATAAAGTCTTGCTCTAGGATTTTTATTTATTTATTTATAAAACTCGTATGATTATTTTTTCACCAATGGCACTATAAGTTATCCAGAAATAATTTGTCTAAGAATTATCCATCTAAAGGTAAATGGTCCAAGGATTATCTGTCTACATATAAATGGTCTAAATCCAATAAAAAACCTGCGGATTTATTCGACTAATTTCAAGTTTAATGTTGCAAAAACTAAAAATATAAACAGTCCAGGTTTGAAGATGTTTATTTTTAAATATGGAATATGGGTAATTCCATCGAAAAGGTGAAAAATGACGTTTTAAAAATATAAAACAAAAAAATTACCATTATTTTTTCATTTCAATTTTATAATAAAAATTTGGTTTATCTTTCTAAAAAGCGTTTTTATAAAGTCATAAAATCAGTTTTATGCATTTTTGTGAGAATATATGGGCGATTCTACAAAAGTTGGGCTTGATGTCATCAGTCAATAGAGTAGGTATTTTAATATTTTTGTAAATATTTTAGTAAATTACAAAAGATCCAGATTTTTTTTTAACTCTTTCACCCAATTTTAATGTATTTTTTCAAAAGTACGTTTGTAGAAAAACATAATAAATATTCAAAACATCAGTACCTTGGCGTGTCACAACTCCTGAATCAAATATTTGAGTGATTTTATTTTAAAATATATTCAATTTATCTTACTTAAATTTTTCAATTTCACTACAAACTATAAAACATTAAATAATTATTTAATGTTTTATAGTTTGTAGTGAAATTGAAAAATTTAATGTATTAATGTATTCTTCATATTTCATCATAGTTCTGTGTCCAATGTTAAAATTCAAAATTCCTGCGAAATATTGAAGTTTAAACGTCAAGTCCTCGTATTTACTCAAGTGTTGGTAAAAAATTACCTACAGAGCCCGCCCTTTGCACGGCAGTCATCTTGAAAACAAGCGGCGAAGTTGTGGTGAATGCACGTATAGTTCCAGTCAAAATTTCACTACTGTGTGTATATAAGACTATTTGTGATTTGTTGATAAGTAGCATCCACTAATAAAAAACATCAGTAAAATACTTAATTCCGAATTATAATCTCAAATTTGTATCCCATTCATCAGTACCGTGTCGTCAGTTCCATGTTCGATGTTTCAGTTATCTTTTTTTCGCAAACTTGTTTATTTAATGTCATTATAAAGTCATATTAATTTGGTGTGGGTCCCATATCTAATAATTGAGATATCGGTATACCCAAAATCCACCAGCCGCCACTGATGTGTGGTATTATTTGATTTTAAGATATTTAATGTATAATATGCTTAAAGTTGCAATAAATCTTATATTTTCCAATACATTATGTATTTGATTAGTACCCTGGTATACTCGTCACTTTAATTTTCTCCGAAAACTATATAAACAAAATGAGGTCAAAAGTTGCCCAACTTTTGTAGAATCACCCATATAATAAATAAGTATTTTAGGTAAATTTTTTTATTTTAACACTATAAGTTATCTAGAAATAAATGGTCTAAGAATTATCTATCTAGCAGCAAATGGTTCAAGGATTATCTTATTTGACTAATTTCAAGTCTAATGTTGTAAAAACTAAAAATATAAACAGTTCAAGTTTGGAGATGTTTAGTTTTACTTATAAAATATGGGTAATTCCAGCGAAAAGTGTAGTGTTTTAAAGTTTGCAATAGACTAACTACTACGTAGATAGATTTTGTTTACAGAGTGTTATATAGGTACTCACCATTGTATGGTATAGGGGTAGTATACTTTTTTGGACACCTACGCCTACAATATGATGTTGGACATGAATCGCAATAAATTTTCCTGCAAGGGTTGTAATTATCGTAAATTTTACAGTTTCTGTAGGACGTACATCTGGTGAAATAAGTCTGTGTGTATCTTTTACATCTCAAAGATTTCTCTATTTGCTTTTGAGTTAATTCTCTTTTTCTACGGTCTTTCTTCCAAAATATGTATTCCTTTTGATGTGAACCACTTGGTTTCACTGAACTTTTATCTTCCGCATCCAACACGTCACCAACCACTATAAGTATCACCAAAGTCACTATGATAAAAGTTAGCGCAAACTTCATTTTTTCTACACATCTATAAAAATTAATGGATTATAATCGCGAGGTAGTGATCTCATCGTTTAGATAAAAACGCGTTATCATCTAATTCTAAATTTACCCGACGAGAAAAAATATTTTTTTTTCTATTTCGCGCACATGGCCGGTGTTGGCCGCACGGTACGCGATCTTCAACTGTCTAGAGCGTGGCCTACGGGAATACAGATGTAAGTAGAGGAAACGCGAAGGCGACTTGATCGCGTGCTATGGTGGAGGGCCGATCCCGCGCCTTCTTATCTCTCCCGCTGCTCACATGTTTCTTCGAGATCTTCTCTTTTTGCTCTGATGGTGATCAGCCTTCAGATGTTTGAGGTTTGAGATCGAGCACCAAGTGGTTGGCGCAAAATTTGGGGTGGTTTTTGGGTGTTCTTTTATACGCGTATTTTAAAAACACGTCAAATTTTCGATGAATTTCAATCGCAAATAACTTTTTTATTTGATGTCGGATTTAAACGAATATTAAAGAATATTGTAGATAAATTAATGGACAATAGCTCACATTTAAAAAAAATACTAAAAAATAGACGTACGTTTATAATATACAGGTTTAAACAAAAATATGTTTTTTACCATAAGTTTAAGACACTCTGTAGAGTGGCAAAACCGTATATTGTTCTAAATTAAGTTTTATTTATCAAGTCACATCTATTCTTAACAGTTTTGTTTTTGGTTCACCACGATATATTTATTTTTGTGGAAAGATGGATTTTTTTAAAAAACATTGCAATTTCCAATATTTTTCCTGTATGAAGAACTAAGGTTGCTATGGTCCATCCATAGCCTATGGAGAATGACAGTGACAGTTTTGTTGAATCATCCCATACTTGGACATGTTATATACAGCTTTCAAAAGCTATCAAATTGTTTTTTGTAAATTAATATGTTAATTTTGAGGTGTCTTCTTACTTTTAAAAATGTCTCTGACTGATGTTGCCCTTTGTACTTTACTTCTTATGACGTTTAAAACACTTGCCACGTAATACTGTGACCGTCCATCCTGGATTAAATTAATAGCTCTGGCAACATCAGTCGGAGACATATCCATTTTATAAAGTAAGAAGACACCTCAAAATTTAAACATTAATTTGCAAAAAACAATTTGATAGCTGCACATATCAGAGTGCGTGACATGTCCAAGTATGGGATGATTCAACAAAACTGTTACTGTCATTCTCCATAGCCTATGGATGGACCATAGCAACCTTAGTTCTTCATACAGAAAAATATTGGAAATTGCAATGTTTTTCAAAAAAATCCATATTTTCCACAAAAATAAATATATCGAGGTAAACCAAAAACAAAACTGTTAAGAATAGATGTGACTTGATAAATAAAACTTAATTTAGAACAATATACGGTTTTGCCACTCTACAGAGTGTCTTAAGCTTATGGTAAAAAAACATATTTTTGTTTCAACCTGTATATTATAAACGTACGTCTATTTTTAAGTATTTTTTAAATGTGAACGATTGTCCATTAATTTATCTACAATATTCTTTAATATTCGTTTAAATCCGACATCAAATAAAAAAAGTTACTTGTGATTGAAATTCATCGAAAATTTGTGTGGATCGATTATTTTGCACGTGAGTGTATGTAAATTTTTTAGAATAATTGACTTGCATTTTTTGAATAAAATTTTCCGGAAATTTTAAACCCTAATCATGATAGATGGAACATTGAGTAAATGAAGTTTTAAATATTTATGAAGAATTTCAAATATGTATTCGGATTGATTTTGGTTGATTTATTTGGGTTATGGAGTGCGGATATATTTGCAAAGAAAACACGTATTGTGTAGTTTAAAACCACATCAGCTACTAAATATATACATTTATAAATAAGCGAATAAAATCCCTGAAAAAAATCAAAAACACCATCTGGTCAGTGATAAATAAGTAATTTTTGTAAATCTGGATAATTATTTTATCCAGACATCAATGTAGTTTAAAAAACTAGTATACTATTTAATAAAACATTTTTTGCTCCATTGCTCAATAATATTCTAGAATTGGCAAAGTGTTTTACACATTTTTACTATATTCTTTGGTATAAATAACGTAAATTATTACGTGAGCTCGCGAATTTAGTTTGTGTTAATGACCCATGACAAGGTGGAGCGACTACACAGCACTCTAGAAAATAAGAATAGAGGTGGATGATATTCAGTTACAGAAATAACAACACAACCAACTACGCTGCTCAGATAGAACAGAGAGATGTTGGGTCTCGCCTTAATATTGTCGCGGCATACTTGGATTATGCAAATTGTGCTATGTTTCAATTTACCAGCATGCCTTATCATTAACAATTGTTACAAGAAGTGCCGCCCTTTTTACTACAGGGTGTTTGTAATTATTGTAATATATTAAGCATTTTGAATATTAGAGCTTCACGGAGGTTAGGATTTCATTTTTTAAACATCCCTTTGTATATTTGAAATAAGTTATTGTATCTTTTGACACCTTATTATTTTTTAAAAATACAACTGTACATACATAAAATATTTATAAAAAAAATCTACTTACTGGGATATTACACTTCACGGTGGATAGGTTTTTAAATAGCAAATATGAACATAAACTTTTGAATTATAAAACAGCAACACTCTCATCTGCATATAAATTCTAACTGACCTTCAGGAATCACATGCATCTATAATTATTATATTATATTATTATATTATATTATATTATGAAAATTATTTCCTTTAATTTTTAATAATATTTTATATTTGATTCGATTGCTTTGGATGTGTTTAATTTACTTAGTAAACTGATATTTTTAGTATGCTTTTACTAACTCAGATATTTGAAATGACAATTATTGTCGTTCGAATGGGAAAACTAAATGCGTCATTTTAGCCCCCTGTACTCTACATTCGGAGAGGCTTCGATGCCGCAAGGGTCGGCTAATCGCAGTCCCGAGGGCAATGAAATCTGCTGGGTGGTCCGAATTTCACTTCATCTCTTGCCTCAAAATAATTACTCGTGCGAGATTTCAAAAACTTCCACTTTTAAGTTAACGAGAACAATTTCCCGCTAAAGCACTAATTACCCATCCCTCAAATATTTATTGCGATTTAAAAGTTAGATTACGAAAAAATTTTTCCAAGAAAAACTTTATTTGAATACTTAAAGGTGTTTCTTTCGAACTAATTAAAAGAATTGAGACTCAACCTCATTGGAATGCACATGAAAACTTTTGTTCCGGGAATAATATAATTGCATTTAACATTGTACTCCTATTACAACTTACAAGGGAAATATAATACTTTTTATGACAGTGCTGATACCTTTACTCGCCTTATGAATAAGTTATGTGGACATAGTTATATTTCTGCGATGCACTATAGTACCTACCTGAGATTTTAAAGCGTTTGAATATAATATCCCCAGTTGGCACTATGGGGCCAAGTAATACTAACTTTAAGCCTCCATGTTTTCTATACTTTTTGAGAAAAAAATGTTTTGAACAAAAATTTTGAAAATGTACTATTTTGGCAACAAAATGAAATATTACATTTCAAAATGCTCAAAAAATTACGAATAATACCACAATTTTAAATTATCTTTGCTAAGTAAAGGTCTAAAAGCAATAACAAACTTAACACCCTGTATCTCGGAAACCATATTATTTTTAAAAAAATTACAAAAGCTATCTTGTACACCATTAAAAAATCTAAAAATAATTTATTTACCACTTTTATGTACAATTGATATTTTTGCATATATCAACAATTTTAGATAACCCTTACCAGGTTACCCAAAAAATATACTCCCAATAGTTTTTGACTGTGTTAAAACTTTTTTCTATGATTTTTATTAAATTAATTTTTAGTTTTCAAACATTTTGATAAATTTATAAATTATTTTTAAAATAAAGCGTGTTAATATAAGATCCATAGTTAGCACTATGGGGCCAACTAATATTAACTTTAAGCCTACATGTCTCTTGGAATTTTTGAGAAAAAAATGTTTTGTAACAATAATTTGAAAATATAGTATTTCAGCAATTAAATAACATATTGCGTTTTAAAATCCTATATATACCACAGTTTTAAATTATCTTTGCTAAGTAAAGGTCTAAAAGCAATGACAAACTTTAACACCCTGTATCTCGGAAACCATACTATTTATAAAAAATTACAAAAGCAATCTTGTACACCATTAAAAAATCTAAAAATACTTTATATAAGTACAACTTTTTTGCAAAATTAGTATTAGATAAACCTTGCCAAAACTTGTTTTTATATGTCCAAAGATTTCAGTCTTAGTTCCTAGTCTTAGGCTTGATCAAACGGATTTTTTTGTTGGGCTTGAGCCTCATAAGCTAGTTAGTTATTTCGAGCAACATAATAATATTTTACCGTTCGAACTTATTTGTCTGATTGTACCGTCGCGAACATAATAAATCCAGCCGAATTACCAAATTGGACTTGGGCCAATTCGATCCGCTACGTCAAGAAGCAAGCCTCGTAATTTTAACAGAAACGAGAAGCAGTTTTTTATGGCGTTACATAAAAGATGTTAATGTGTTAATTTAGAGCTCTACCTTACCGACCGTTTCGTATTATGCCTATTATCTTTAATTACGTTGCACTGCGTTTTCTGCTGTTGTTTGAATATTTTCGCTGTTTTTGAGGCAACAAAAGAATTCATTTAGTAGATATATGAGGTATACAAAAGTTTATGATGATTTACTTAGTGTACTGGTGGCACATCAAAAGGAATGGGAATGATTAAGCTTAAGTCTCCTGAGGGGGAAAGAAATACGACTTAATAATTGTTAAGGGGCTATATTTATACTCACAAACGTGGAAAAGTTAAAAATAGCTTTGCAAGTTGTTTTACAATATGATATAATACCTACACAAGTATTTTGGTCCCCACTGAAGCCTAGGGTAATATTTGCATAACGAAATGGGAAATTTGACTCTTTGAAGCCACCACAAACTGTTCAAACAAGCGCTAACCGCAAGAAAGAGGCAGATTTTAGTCTCTCGAATATCACAAAAAAAATACCGAAAACTAACTAAAATTAATTGTTGACTAAAATGAAATTTCTATTTGTTTTGTCAAAACTTCAGCATGTGTGTACTATGTACACACACCCCC